AGTGTTCGTATAACAAATATTTGTGTATAAGTGATTTAAAAGGATAATTCTATATCTAACCCCGAATTTTAGCCTTATAAATCCTCAAGGTTTCCGGGGATAATAAGAAAGAAAGCATTTGTTCTAAGGTTAATATTTTCCCCCACGTTGAAGATTTTTAAAAGTTCTAATGGAAAATACAATAATATCTTTAGTTTATAATGTTGAAAACACGTGAAACAGTAAAACACTAACTACATGTCCTGCTACCTTTGTTTGTATATAAATGTGATATAATTATTTATAGAGTAAGGCCTAAAAAGAAAGCGCATATAACTTGAGTTTTTGTGGTTTGTTGTGTTTTAGAGCAAAACTAACTCGCGCTAGTCAACCCTAATTTTGTTTGTTTTTGAATTTCGCGCAAAGCTACACGAGGGCTATCTGCGCTAGCCGTCCCTAATTTAGCAGTGTAAGACTAGAGGGAAGGCAGCTAATTATCACCACCCACCGCCAACTCTTGGGCTACTCTTTTACCAACGAATAGTGGGATTGATCGTCACACTATAACGCCCCCACGGCTTAAAAGGCGAGCATGTTTGGTGGGACGAGGATTCGAACCCGCGACCCGCAGATTGCGAGTCGAGCTCCCTAACCACCTGGCCATGCCAGGCCTCAGTTTTGAAGAAAGAGTTTTCAAATTATATATATATATATATATACACATACGAAGACAACCTAGCATATTGTTCACAATATGCATAGATTTTCCAAAAACATTCTTACAATAAACAAGTAACATTTCATTTAGTACGAAAAAAAACTTGCTTTCATCGTCTCTGTTGTTCTCTTTTGACAACAAACCTCCCATATAATGAGAGATTCTAGCGTTGGATGTCGCCACCGATGTAGTAGACGTTTGAGGCAGTGAGGTAACAGAAGAAACAGGAAACAAGTGACGCATCGACCCCTAGTAATATAAATTCAAGAACATATGAATTCCGTATTCTAAGTCTGCGATAATGTCCTAAAATAAACTCGAGGCAACAAGTGATTTTTTACTTAAAAAATTATGTGTACCTTTTAATTTATATTTAACATTCAAAATTTATGTTAATTTTGGTTTTCATAATTTCATAGCCAAATTATTCCTCATTATTCTTGTCTTGATTGCCAACAATTATGTCTACAGTATTACTCCAACAGTGGTTTTCCTTATGCTAATACTAACGTTGTACATACAGCAAGCGATAAAACTGAACTTTTAAGTTTTGTTAAAATAACTGACAACTATGTGTGTGTGTGTGTGTGTGTATATACTGTACTCGGAGGGTGGAAATAGGGGGTAGGAGGGTTAAGAGACAATGAAGATATAGCAAACCAATTATGCTTTTACAAAATTGCCGAAACATTTATGAATTACAAATGGAACCAGAATCAAAACGAATCTATAAATAATCCAAATAACAGGTGAAGTTTATTCCTTCAAAATGTTGTGAATACTGTATTGTTAAGTGGTAATATTTCAAACATTTTAAAAAATTTGTTCATAATTTTGTTTTACAAAATTAAGTATATAGTTTCGGTGAAAAGGTGCATCATTTTTAGCATATTAAGAATGTGTGCTTTTTACACACTTTAATTTGAACTTGTTTTGCACATAACTTCGGTTAGAAAATATCCATTGATTGTTCATTTAATAGAATCCTTACCCCTGCACACATGGGACGACCACTCCAGTTTCTAAGTGTAGAAATACAGTCATATAACGGTTAGTTTGATAGGGAATGGACGAGAACAAAGACATGAAAGACTTTAAAAGGGGCATAATAATGGGTGCTCATCAATCAAAATATTAATAATAAAGACCGTTTTCGTTACAAGCTGTTCAAAGTCATATGTCACCAGAATACGTCAAGTGTGGCAATGGAAAGGGAAAGTGTCTTCCTGTTGGATATACAAGACTGTTCAGTTTAAGAGTTATTATTTACTTTATCTAGTGATTTCATATTGAATGATTTTTTAGTTTTTATAACAAGAGTATTAAAAGTTAATTATTTTAAAAGCGATAGTTCTAACAAGTTTCGTTACGTAACTGTACGTTTCGTAAGTTGTGTATATAGTTTAATTGTTGTACCAGGCTTTTGTAATATTGTTGAGTCATCTTACTTGAAATTTCTGTGTAATATTGTTATTACTAGAGGACTAGATATTTCCAGATACTGAAGTAAAATTAGTAAAAGTAAAATTGAAGTTAGACTACATGATTGTGAGTTTAGCCATAAAGAGCGTATAGTGGCGATTTCTAAAGTGAGTTTCACAGCTTGTATTGTAATAACGGAAATAGAGGAAAATAATTTGTCTTGTCAAAGGGTGTTCTAAAATAACTCAACCAGCCTGTGTGGATTTTGATGGAAAGGAGACAGTTACTTAAAGCTCTGGATACAACTGCGGTAACCCACACTTTTTGTGGTGATTTTAAAGTAAGTATCACAGCCTTGTATTGTAATAAAAGAGATAGAGGAGAATAATTTGTTTTGTCAAAGGGTGTTCTAAAGTAATTGAACCCAACTGTGTGGACTTTCACGAAAAAAATAGAATTATTTAAAGCTCTGGATAACTGTGATAACCAATAGTATAACGAACATCTTTACATACGTTTAACGTGTTTTGATATCATATTTTAAAACAAGTGGACTGTGTTGCTGTTTATCCACACATATAAAAACTGATACTTCTATTACGGAAACTGCTGCTGTCAGTTACATATGATTTGTGGAAGAAATGTGTGATTAAAATATTTATTAAGTAGAACAAGCTGTGTCCCAGTGGCTTACTTTCATAGGAAATTATCAATATTAAAGTATTTTCAGCTTTACACGTGAAAGGTAGTACAACAAACGTTACGTGGCAGTCGACAAACACTTTGAATACTGTTTATCTCAAATGCAAAAAAACAAAAACAAAACATGTTTTCATTGCTTGCTGCTTAGAGCATAATCCATTTACAATACATAAATGGAAATGTGCGAATCGTTTTAAAAGCTACGTTTTCAATACTGACAATACAGTAAAAGTGTAGAGAAAACTGTATGCAGCACTTGAACCTACTTGTGTGGTAACAACAACACAAGATACACGTGGTGCTATAAAGGTTTACCTGAACGTTGTTGTTGATCAAGTCCATCACACTAAAATGGCATTTCAACAATGATATTCAATGTTTTGAAAAACTGAAACGATCAGTATTGTTCGTATTGATCAAAATCGTTTCAAAGAACATAACAGCTACTCAGTAATTTTCCTAGACTACTAAAACCACCAGATTTAAATGTTATTGGGTCGTTTTGGGATGAACTCGGACGCAGTTTTTCCATCATATTCATTTCTATCCACGCTCTTTGGCCACACGGTACATACGACATTGAATCGAGTTACTTGTTACGATTAAACTGGATAACAGGGGGATAAGTCATAATATAGTGCCTTGTATTATTTCCTATAGATTGTTATAAATGTACTTACACCGTTATTTGTCATGAAATAATGATCTACTTGTATTATAAATAATAACCCGTGAAAACTGCTGCCAATTACAAACAAAATATATAAACTATATAGGACTAGCTATGATATTTCCTTCTTCTGTGATATAAATGTAAAACCTAACATTAAACCACCAAATTTAAAATACATCGCAAAATTATCAAGGTTCGTCATAACATCCTAACTTGAGTTTATTTGTGATTATTATAATTTAGGACACATTTATGACAAAAGGCTTAAGGAAGCTTCATTATCTTCATAAATTGTCCAATATACCTGAACATTTGATTTTGTGTTCAGTGTGATAGGTTGACCATTGGTGTTACTAATGGCCGTGTGCCTAGCCATTGGTGTACTTCCCGTAAAGCTACTGTCCACTTCATCTGACCTTTGCAACATAGAAGGATATAGTTTCTCTGATGTGGTTGACCTAATGGAGTTGGAACGGGATAGATGCGAAGATCCAGAAAGCTCTTTCTGGTGGAGAATCAGGCGAGCGTGTGTTAGACTGTTAGCACGGGCATGTTGAATCTATGTATTATAAGAATCACATATGAAACAGAAAATTTTCAAATAATCGCTAAAAACGTTTTTTTTAGTACCTAAAAGCTACATGATTTTAAGTTATTATTTTCGAAAAGAAAGATAACACAAAATGGAAGTATTTTACGGTTGTAATATACATTACTTCTAATAAAATCAGAGTAATTATAATGTAGTGTAATGATATGATAATTAAACATAAGAATCTGCGCAACACAACCTATACAGTATATTACCTGAGCATGTACACCGGAAGAGGTTGATGATAAAGATTCCATACTATCTGCCTCAGTAAGCCCACCTCCACTATTACTACGTGTTCCTGATCCAGATATCACCGAGACACCAGAACTACCACTGTATCGTAACCAAGAATAGGATGGCGTAACAGAGTTACTGACAACCGGATGTGAGCCGATATTGGCATAGTTACCCATGTTTCCATCGCTTGGTCTTATTGGAATGGAAAGTCGAGGTCTGTTAATCGAGCAGTCTTTGGAAGTTCCTGTCAAACCAGGTAGAATTACATAGTCTGAGATGGGATTAGACGGATCGTTGGGAGCAGAACAAGTTCCGTAGGCGAGTTCCCGAAATCCAGTAACATTCGATGACATCAAAGAATTTTGTTTTAATGTTTTTCTGCGACCTAAAGAACTGTATTCACTATCTGAATGAGCTGATGTACCATTGAAAATATATGCATCATTGCATTTGGTCTGGATATTTGCAGACTCTTTAATTTTTCCTCGTCGTTCAAAGCTGTTTTTACCGTTAGAGGGCGTAATGGAGATATTCCTAGGCAGACTTGATGATTGAATGCGGGTCCTGTCAGGAGGTTCTAAATGACGAGAATCGTTGTATCTAGTGTCGTGTGACTTTTCTTTTTTTGAATTACTTTGTGCTTTGGAACCTCCTGTTCTGTTGCTACCACTGGACGAAGCAGTTGAAGTACTGGATGGCCTCTTCTCATTGTTCGTACCGATTCCCGCCACGCTAACTGTTCGAGATCCTTGAGCTCTTCTTTGTTCCTGTGGTGGTTGAACTAACTGATTAACTAATGTAGAGGTAATTTTTGCATACTTTGAGCACGAACTTCTTCCATTTTCTATCTCTTTCTCGATCACGATGTCACCTTCTCGGTATTTTCCGTCTTCAGTTTTGCGCATTATGGCTTTGTTCTTGGGTTTCTGGCATTCATATGATTCGTATTTATTTAGCACAACGTTTGAAGCGCTGTTTTTGTTTTCCATGATGTTTGATGTAGAAAAGACAGAGCTGGTGTTAATATATTCTCTGCGTTGTCCTGATTCAGATTTACTCTTTCCAGTTCGTACTTGTTGCTCTTGATGTTGCTGAAGGTATTTCTTCCACTTAATGGATGACATTTGGTGGAAGGCACTTGAGTCGGTCTGCATTGAGCTATCCGTTTTTGCTACGTTTATAGAATGGCCATTAGTATATTTTCCTGAGGTGGTAACGCCAATATGATGCTCTTCCCAGCCTCGCCTAGTATTTTCACCAGAAGTGAGGGAGTATTTGGTGGCTACGCCTCGTTGCTCTCGCTTCAAACTTCCATAATAAGTTGATGCTGGGCTTACTGATGATCCTGTCAAGTTGTCGTCGGTGCTTACGTCCGCAATAGTATCGCTAAGACCACTACTGACAGAACTGCTGTCGTCTAGACTGTAGAATAAAAACATAATATAATACTGGAACAAATTGACTACATGTTTTTAGTTAAAATAGGCTGCGTTTTGATTAAAACTAGTCATTCAAAATTTCAGTAACCACAGATAAACTAACAGTAAACTATGGGATTCTGAAACGGTAAATATAATTTAATTACTTTGTTTCAAATTGTCAAGATCTCAATATCTACTCAGGAATAGCTGGGAGAAGAGAGAGGGGCTTTGCGAGTGTGGTATATTTTTTGATGGAAATGATTAAAACTGATAACAGCAAGAAGTTCGTTGGGCTAGTTGTCTAAATATATAATACGTCTCCACTAACCGTCTACCAAAAGTGGGTTTATCATGTGATCATTATAATCTATCACTTTTTACGCAGACACGCGTGATTTTTACTTATATGTCTGTTTTTTCACGTATAAATGCTAAACTACCGATCTAATCATAAAATGTGTATATATTTTCTTCAAAGTTGAAAATAAACCTACATAATGACAGATCTGAAATGTATCCTTCCACACAGATTCACTGATGAAGAAAATTGATAAATAAGATGTACAGAATAACATAATAAATTTGCTAAACTTCAGTACAGAACCATTACTGGGGAAAACTGAACCACAAGATGAGAAGAAAACTATAGTCTCTCCATAAACAACAATTAATAAAGAAAATTTATAATTAAAACCCCCAGAATGCTAGAAAAAAAACTGTACACCTTCCAAACAGAATAATCAATGGAAAATTTGGGAAATAAACATACGGGATGACAGGGAAAACTGTAGTCCTTTCATAGGGACCAATAAGTGAGAAGTTTATAATGAAAACTTGCAGAATGACAGAGAAAGCTGTAAATCTTCCACATAGAGTTAGTAATGAAGCTAATTGGTACATAGACCTAAAGAACGACCAGTGTTTGAAGTGGTCTGGAAAAGGTGCCGGTATACATGAATTTGAGGGGGGGGGGGTTACTTAGTGTTTGACTTGAGGTGAAACATACTCGCGCAATAGTTGCAGAGACACTAAAGCCTAACTTGTTTACATGCGAAACGAAAAGGTTGTGAATGTGGTGTTTTGCTGCAATACAATTCCTTTTCTCCCTTGTCTGTATGTCTGTTTGTTTGTTTGAAATTAAGCACAAAGATACACAATGGGCTATCTGTGTTCTGCCCACCACGGGTATCGAAATCCGGTTTCTAGCGTTGTAAGTCCGCAGACATACCGCTGTTCCACTGGGGGGGGGGCGCCTATATGTCAAACTGTCCCACTTCAAACACTGAAAATGACCGAGAAAAACTAACAGAGTCAGATGAAAATAATCCAACAGAATGATAGTTATCAAAAGTAAAGTTTCATGAAGACCAAACACTGATCCAAGTAAAAGCAAATTATAAAAATGAAAAAAATAAAATAAAATAACGTGATAACGAAATTTAAAGAATGAAATGGGCAGTATAAAACTGTATTTTACCAGTGAGGTCAAAGGACTTGAAATATTTAAGTATTTTATAGAGTTCAAACAACTTTATAATTTTAATAAGAGTTCTACTTTTCAAAAATATAATGAAAAACCCAATCTACATAAAAATCTCTCAATTTCAAACACAAACAAGGAAATACAATCCAGGCTAGAATACTTTTAATCTTACAAAGAAACAAAACTTACCTATAGAGAAATTAAAATATTCCCGCCGTTTATCAAAAAATCTATACCTTCATCAACAACTACGAGATTTCAAACACACACACACAATCTATGTCTAGATCACAAACTTTGATTTTACAGAACCAGAAATAGATCCCATCAACATGACATTTTTCATATCACACAAACACAGTGATGAACTTAACCTACACCAAAATACAGAATCAGAAATAGATCCCATCAATATGAACTTTTCATATCATACAAACACAGTAATGAACTTAACCAACACCATAATACACAATCAGAAATAGATTCCATCAACATGAACTTTTTCATATCATACAAACACAATAATGAACTTAACCTACACCTAAAATCTTCCAATATCGTACACAAACCAGAGTCTTTCCATATCACGACAAATGAGAAACCTAACCAACATCAAAATCTTCCTCACTATACCGTCAAAGAAACAAAGATTAAATATACCTAGACTCCTTCCATGACACATAGCCACACTAATAGAAAAACCTTATCAACGCCCAGAAGTTTCTCATACACAGAAACAGAATATCTACACCAACAACATTTGCATACTACACCAACAGAGAATCCTAAGCAATGTTTAGAACTTCTTCGCTACATAAGCACAGAAACAAATATAAAATGCATACATAGAACCTTTCTATGACAAATACCAAGAAACCTTTTCGAGATCAAGAATTTGGTCACCATACATGCACAGGAACAAATTTTACCTATATCGAGAATTTTGTCACCATACAGGCACAGGAACAAAGTTTACTTACATTAAGAATTTTGTCACTATACAGACACAGGAACAAAGTTTACCTATATCAATAATTTTGTCACCAACAGACACAGAAACAAAGTTTACTTACATTAAGAATTTTGTCACCATACAGGCACAGGAACAAATTTTACCTTTATCGAGAATTTTGTCACCATACAGGCACAGGAACAAAGTTTACTTACATTAAGAATTTTGTCACCATACAGGCACAGGAACAAATTTTACCTATATCAAGAATTTTGTCACCATACAGGCACAGGAACAAATTTTACCTATATCAAGAATTTTGTCACCATACAGGCACAAGAACAAATTTTACTTATGTTCTAATCATAAGCGCTTTCCCATCATACAGTAACAGAAACAGAGCTTATATCATACAAAAAAACCGCAAATAAATGTTACTACTCCAAGAATTCAACATTACACGCATAAAATGCATTATACTTATAGAACGAATTTGGTCTTTCCAACTCGGTAATTTCCTTTCCAATAGACAATTTTCAGTTAGACCAGGTACTCTCTCTAATTAATAAATCCAATCGTAACTCTTTCCAAGATCAGTAATTTCCCCCATTCCACAGAAAAACCTTACACAGGCTAGGTTTCTTTGTTGAGTTTCGCGCAAAGTTATTCTGGGACTAGTTGCGCTAGCGTCCCTAATTTTGAAGGAATAGACTAGAGGAAATTTAGCTAGTCAACATCAACCGCCGCCAACTCTTGGGCCACTCTTTTACTAACGAATGGTGGGATTGATCGTGAAATTATAACGCCTCCTAGGCTGAAAGGGTGAAGAAATTTGAACTCGCGACCACAGATTTGCGTGCCTGTTAGCCATGCCAAGCCTCATAGGCTAGGAACTCTCGCAAAATGAAAGTTAACTCTTTCAACACTAGTAATATCTCCAAATCTCATATAAACCTTACGTAGTTAGGAACTCCCCAATTAACAAATCAAAACATAACTCTTTTCAACACTAGAAATATTCCTCAAATCTCATACAAACCTTACCTAGCTAGGAACTCCCAAATTAACAAATCAAAACATAACTCTTTCCAACACTAGAAATATTCCTCAAATCTCAAACAAACCTTATCTAGCTAAGAACTCTCAAATTAACAAATCCAAAAATAACTATTCCCAACACTAGTCACCACTTCATCTCAGAGACTCTATGAAAATGTATATCATACAAAAACGCAAATATGTTTATAAGATGGATTTGGTATTATAATTCGCATTATAATTAATTTTTTAAAGTTTTGCAAAACACTTACAGAGTTAAATGTTATATAGTACGAAACATTTTACATAATGCATATTATCTCCCTCATGAAATTAATTACGTTACACATTCTATTTACCTGTTATACCAAGTATAGTAGCTGCAGTATTTTTCACGATTCATCGTAGCATAGATTCACCTAAAAACTTCGAAACTTGTTGTTAAATAAATCTTCACAACTCCCATATAAACTTATAGTACATGCTAACCATCACGATAAACGGCCCGATACCGCAACCAACCAGTAAGAAATATCACAGCAACCTGTCCCTCACGTGCAGCGTATAAGTACTATCGATTGTAATTTTGGACTATACCACGTGCGAGTTAAAAAGGTGGAGACTAAGATAGAACTGTTTTGGTATATATATATATATACCTTGACATTTAATTCATTTTGTTGGAAGTTATAGATATTGTGATGGCACTAATTAGCAGTCCCGGGGAGTCACGACAGGCCTAACAAGCCGGCGATGAATTAATATTTGCTCAAGAAAGGTTAATCGTATTTTTTACTATTGAAATTGAGCAGTTTAGCATTCTCAGTGATTTCCCTCTTGCTGATATATTTGTACATTAATATATACACTTGTCGTATGGTAATCACCTTTAAAGCAGAAGTATTATAAATAGTTATGAAATACTAGTAAACGGTAGGGAGGAAGATTCAGAAGAAAGCATTTGTGCAGGATTTTTAAATGCGAAAAACTACAAAATCTCGAATATTTTTACTGCCATTTTCTGATCTTTAGCTTTAAACCTAAAATACTGTCACCACTTTATGTTTAATGTGGTTTCCACTGTTGATAAATGACAGTTGATTTACGCTAGCCACATGTACTTGTAAAAGCAGCTGCGTAAATATTATGCAGAAAGACTGGGCATAAAATGTTCTATTCTATGAATTCGAGTGCTGCAGTGGAATTAAGTATAATGCTACATGAAGAAGTTCAAAATATACATTCTCACACTAAGGTCCCGAACGTTTTCTGCAGCTATTCCCTTGAAACTAAAACAGACAAGAGGGAAGGCCACGTGACTACAACTTCTCATTCATTCGATTTATTTCACGCTTTGAAACGTGTAATTGATAGGAACAGAACTTTTAAAGTGAGCTCATTAGTTGCTTGTTTACTTAGAATATACTCAAGGCTTGTTGAACTAATTCGTGAATCAGTCTGGAAGACTTGTGTAATGCACGTGTCTCTATATTTGGACTTTCCTTTAAAGTATGCTCGAATAAGCAATAAAAACTTCAAGAAATATTTTCTTGAATTTCATTTCACAAAACAACTGAAAGGTAGTTGGACTTGACAGGACAAAATCAGAGTTATTAAATAATCTCAGTTGCTCTCCGAGTTCATTTTTCTGAAATGCAAGTGACTCGTCATTCAGCCTATGCTCGTATATTAACATTTGGTAGAAATGGCTTTACATCTTTACATGTGTAGTTTATGACATTTCATGCAATTGATGATACTAGCAGAAACACCGCCCTACGTGCAACTGTTTATGCTAGTAGCTACTAATTGTAGTATTCATATCTCATTGAAAATAAATTTAGAAAAAGTGAACATTTTCTTCAAAAGGATTTTTTGTGGGAAGTACTGCATGGGAAAGGTGTTCGGATTGTGTTCTTTATTCATAAGCAACCCATTGCATCAAAATGATTCAATTTACAGAGCTCAAACTTTTCATAAATTTTACTGATATAAACTGTAATGTTTTTATATATTAAAAGTGGCACCGTTTTTTAAGAACTTCAGTTTCTTCGACAGACATGGTAGTGGTCAAAATGCTGTTTAACTTACTATAATGGACGTAGCGTATATGTCATTATCTATGTATGCAACTAAAACTCCTGCGTCATCTATTGAATAGCACCACAAACAAAAATTCACACTTTGGGTATTCAGTATCCAGACATTTAGAAAAATAACTGTGGTATGTGCAACAACCATGTCTTTATAATAGAACACAATTTTAAATAAAAGTACTTTCCTCTCAACAAGAACACGGCTTTCACTAGGACTGTACGTGAGGGTTTGATTATATCTTTATTGATGCAATTCTTAAATATCGTACCTATCCTAACTGGCTTGATGAATTCTTGTATTAGGGTAAAGGTCTCGTCGGCATTGGATATGACAGATACATCGTAGATGACATACTACTGGATTCTTCTCTACTTTCATCCGTAGTTGTTATAGTTACACATGGAGTTTGGCCATCACGTTTCATCGGAACTTGGTACCGTTTTTACATGACTAAAAGCATTATGTTGAAACGGTACTGAGGTATCTTGGACAGCTCTTTTGAATAGAAGTGTTGCTTCCAAAGTATTTTTAGGTTGTGCAGCCACTCGACATAATTCTCGATGGGACTGAAGTTCGGTGAGTGAGCAGGCAACTACATTTGTTGAATAACCGTATTCTTTAACGAAAGTTTCGAACCAGTTTAGTCAGATGGGGAAAGTGTTTGCGTTTAGTAGGTTGAAGTCAGAGCTAATTGCACCGGAATATGGCAGAATAGGGATTTGTAAGATGCGATTCTCATAATATGTGCCATTAGTGCTTCTCAAACTGTATTCACACTACTGCCATATATGCCACAATCCTGTATGAAAATAGTGTTAGATATGACTTCATATTCTCTTTTTAAGTCTTAGCTGGAGTAGAAACCTAACACGACCTTGGTATAATAAAATATTTGAGTTTTCGATATCCATGTCACCGATCATGTGGTAATCAATGTCAGTAACGTTTGTTCGGGAAGTAATAGGCAAATCAAACAAGCTGGTGAGAATCTTGAATATTGAGTCATATGAAAAAATGTCAGCAACGTTTTTTGGGAAGTAATAGACAAATCAAACAAGCTGATGAGAATCTCGAATATTGAGTCATATGAAAGATTGTCAGTAACATTTGTTCGGGAAGTAATAGGCAAATCAAACAAGCTGGTGAGAATCTCGAATATTGAGTCATATGAAAGATTGAAACCAGTGCAAAAAATATTGTCAAAATAAAAAAAAATATGTCTCAACATTGAAATTTCAAAGAAAGAAACGAATATTACAAAACAGATATAATAATACAAAACAGTTTTAGTGCTATTTAAGTACATTAATACAGTATGCTTTAAAAACAATTTTAAGTTTAAGTAATATATATATATAATTAAATGTAATTTTATGGAGAGAACCAAACAAACAACAACAAAAAAAAAAAAAATAAAAATAAAAACGCAGTCACAAAACAAACACCCAACACCGAGGAACCAATCATAAGATGGGTCATTATGTAACGTGCCCTGGTTTTTTGAGGTACCGGCGGAAGTAATACCCAAATTGCGTTGGGTGTTTAAGCTCAACTTCGCCGGCCTCACATGCTTAGAAGGAAAAAAGGAGCAAATGTGAGTGCTCTAACCCACAACATCCCACATCTTTACCATCTTTTACTGTCTGCAACCAGATTTGGGAAGGTGATTGCTCACACAACATAAATAAATAAAATAAAATAAAAACGATCACAAGAAAGAAATTGTAGAATACAAGACATCAATGGGGGAAGTTAACATTCCAGCCACCAATATGTAGTGCTTCAATCTTACTATCTGGATCTTAAATGGTTCTAAAGTTTTGAATTTCGCGCAAAGATACACGAAGGGTATCCGCGTTAGCTGTCCCTAATTTAGCAGTGAAAGACTAAGAGAAAGGCAGCTAGTCGTCATCACCCACCACCAACTCTTGGGCTACCCTTTTACCAACGAATAACGGGATTGACCGTCACGTTATAACACCCCCCCCCCCCACTGCTGAAAAAGTTAGCACGTTTGGTGGGACGGGGATTCGAACCCACGACTCACAGATTGCGAGTCAGGCACTCTAACCACTTGGCCATGCCGGGCCTTCTTTAAAATAATAAGAAGAATTGTGTGCATTATAAGCCTAGAGAAAGAAAAAACCTAACCACCAAGCCACGAAGTTCTAAAGAAATCCACCCAGTAGAAGGTCTTATATACGACTACATTAATCCACCGATATAAAACGTAACATATCCAAGTAATTCGAATTATTTCCCCATACAATAAATTTTAGATATATTTTTTTCATTTGTTTAAATCACTATTTTAAAATTCATATAAATACTTTTATATTTATTATAAAAAATTAAAATATTTAATTAACGTTTTCTCATCAAAGCCACTAAAAATATGTTTATACACTAACATATTAATATTAGATATTAAGAACTTTACATTGCTGCCTTTACCATATAAATATATTGATGGTTTAATTAGTATTCATAATCCAGTAATAAGTAATTATATTGGTACATTTATCATACAGTTCTACAGATCTAGACCAAACATGCTCGCCCTTTCAGCCGTGGGGGCGTTATAATGTGACGGTCAATCCCACTATTCGAAGGTAAAAGAGTAGCCCAAGAGTTGGCGGTGGGTGGTGATGACTAGCTGCCTTCCCTCTAGTCTTACACTGCTAAATTAGGGACGGCTAGCGCAGATAGCCCTCGTGTAGCTTTGCGCGAAATTCAAAACAAACAAACAGATCTAGAACACATTTCTTTAGATTTTAAGATAATAAATAATTATAGTAATATTAATATTTATGATAAAATATATGATTTCACATTTCAAGTTTTGGATTTCCCTCTCCAAACAGCAATGTACCAACAATACCATTCAAGTATTATACATTCACAACTTCTTAGGTATTGTAATATGTAAACCAATTTCGGATTTGGAAAATTATTCATAAATTTATTTTCGTAATAATAAAGATATAAATTAGCAACACAGCTTGAATGATTAGAACCCATCGGTGTACCTACAATTTGTTCATAAATATGCTTATGAAAATGAATATAATTATTATACGCAAACTATTACGCAAAAACTGAATATGATTTTGATATTATTAGCACTAAGTTTCAGATTAGAATCACCTATGCTTTTCGTTATAGGTTTAAAATCTTTTAGCTATTCTGTATTTAACACCTTTTCCCATGATTTTTCGTAAAGAATTGTCTTTTATTATATCCAAATTTCCAGTAATAATATCTAGCAGAGTTACAACGCTAGAAACCTTGTTTAACTTCAAACAAACAAAAAATAATATTTTATGAAAATAATTTGACTAGCAATCCCTTTTTAAATTCTGCACATTATTTATATTAAATGGTTTAAAAAATCTTTATAATTATATATATATAACAGATCCTATTGAAATTTATGAATTAAATCTGATAATAGGTTTTAAATATTTTAAAGGAAAAATATTTTGTATTACAGAATCATGAAAAGTTTTAAAAATTTGCGAATCATTAACAAATTTATGTTTAAAATTAATTATTATATATATAATAACTTTATCATTTGTAAATCTTTAATTTAAATTATTTACCTTAAGACTAAATTTCATAATCTCGGAAATTAACTGTTTAGCATGATTATTTTGTGGAGTAAGTTGATAGAGAAAGATAAAAAAATAGAAAAAGAGAAATTACTAAAAGGAAGAAAAGAGCTTGTGAAAATAAGTTACGCTCATTAAGAACTAATTAGAAGGTGCTAGGTAATAGCGAGGATAAGAAATTTAGTAATTGCATTAAATGAAAAAAAAAAAGAGTGAAACAGAAATAAAAGACACAGGGTATAAGATAGTCATTCATAGTACACTATTATCGATTAATAGACATAACATGCTAGAAAACAAACGTAAATACAACTGCATAAATTTTGGAGGACTTACCGAAATTTGTTCAATAGGCGTTGTTGGCCTGACTTATTCTTCCTACGTGCAAAGGAGGGAAAAAATAACATCAGATCGGAGGAAACAAATAATCTTTTTAAATTTACAACACACTTTGTAGAGGTACCACTGCTTTGTTACAATATCCAAAAACGATGAAAAGGATTTCGAGAAACTAATGATTGAAAACAGCTGTAAATGTTCGATTAAACCATTATAACAAATCTATTACAAACAATAGTTTTTCATTTTTCATATATCATTCTAATTTTGTGAAATATTGATTATACCTAAAAATGCTGGGTCTTCTTTACTACCATGGTAACACATAAAAAAAAAGTAAGAAAATTTCAGGCGCAAAGCTACACGAGGGGTATCTGTGCTACCCGTTCCTAATTTAGTAGTGAAAGACTAGAAGGAAGGCAGCTAGTCATCACCACCTACCGCCAACTCTTGAACTATTCTTTTACCAACGACTGAACATCACATTATAACGCCCCCACGGATGAAAGGGCAAGCATATTTGGCGGGACGGGGATTCGAACCGAACTCGTGACCCTCAGATTGCGAGTCAAGCGCCCTAACCACCTGGCCATGTCGGGCCGGTAGCAGTGACTGTATAAGAATTAGACTATGGACTCAGGAGGTCCAACCCTTTCGATTGGTGTATTTAACCACGCCCAAGTCTCATAGATCAGTTTACTCTAATCCTGCCAAAAATAATTTAAATTTGTGGGTAGGCTGGTAGAGATCCTAATGAGTAATAAAATCGAATCGGGTATACGCGCGCCCCACGCACAAGAACATAACTAATAAAAAGGGAAAAAAGAGTCTCGTAGATTAATTTATTCTAATCCTGCCTAAAAGAACTTCAAGTACCGCGGCTTTTGAAGATTTCCTCTTGTTTTCCCTTGTTTCTTTTCATTTATGACAATAAGTATGGTAGCAGTAACTGTTTGTTTGGTTTGAATTTCGAAACTGTAATTAGATCATAAACCGGTCAAGAGATGACGGAGCTACGAGCTCAAAGAAAACTCGGAGCAATACTATGAGCTGCTATGCCGCGGCTAAAAAAGGTCTCATAGATTAATCTACTCTAATCCTGCCTAAAAGAATTTCAAGTGCCGCGGCTATTGAGTATTCTCTCTTATTTCTATCCATGCGATACTATACAAAGGAGATGGTTAGTTTTTCAAGTTTGTGGATGGCAAGTTATATCATTAGTTAAAGATAAGTCTAAGGATAGAAGTAGAATTGTGTTTATACAGATTTTATTTAAAAATAACGAAGATATCCGTTTTTTTTTGTGAGAGTATGGCGAACTGGTGTTTCTGTGTCAACAAAAGTTTTTATTACTAAACACATCAACTGGAAATCGATAAAATCAAAAGACTGATATGCTTGTATTAACTTAATAGGTCTCGAAGAACATTAATTGATAAGTTATTGGTATTTTATTAAGTTTAGGAAAAAGTGCCAACACGAGCTTTTAAGATGAACAGAAGATTGCTAGAAACAGTTATTTGGGTTCGGTGCAACTGACAGGTAATACTAAAAGTCGGTCTTTCGGTTCCGGTTTCTCTCTATTTTCTTTTGATTTATACTTATTTCTTTATGAGCATTATTTTTTTTTTACAGTTGATGAGGTAGAATAGTATGTTTTAAAGAAAACAACAGAATACAAATCTAAAACTCTTTCGAACAGGGACAGATAAACCGAGTTTTAGATATACTGAAATAAAAAATATGTAGACCAAAATAATCTTGATTACATTCCATTGTGAAAGGAGGTAAGATCAACAACTTTTCAGAGTTGTGATATGAATAATGTAAACGTCAATACATGCACTAAAAATTTAGAATATCAGCAAACTTTCCGTCAATTTTTATGCACTTGCTACTTTCATAAACACCCAACAACGAAGTAAAACAATTAGGCAATTAATTATCAGGATTATAGAGTGCACAACTTTGATTTATATACGTTGACGTGTATACGTAACGAGAAGAAAATACATGTAACAAATGTATAGTAGGGCGAGTTTGCCTTCTTCCATATTCGTAATCTCACATCAATTTAAAAGATCTAAATATTCACAAATATATATATATAATTAAATCACCAAATGTATCAGTGTAACAAATGTGTACTAAATATAAAAACTGAACTGAGACCAATTTTGAGTATCAAGTCAGTTCCGGTCTTTCTTATAATTTTTTTTCTGTCCCACGAGGCTATTTAAGCCGGAAAAAAAAAGACATTTGGCTTAACCATTTTTTTTTTGCATTGATTCTCTCATAATGTAACGGAGCTAAATCCGAGGTCTTCCTGAACCTACTGAAATTCTACTGGATGAGGGATCTGTTGAATTTATTCAACGTATCGATATTGGTAATTTAGGTCGTAATTTTGTTCTTGAACCTGAAAAACGCTACGAATCTTTTCAGGAAGGTTGGGCAATAAGGTCTGTTCGAGGAAGACTTATGAAAAGAAGTATATTCATCGTTATATAGATTATGTGAAACAAATGTAAGTGATAAAAACAAAGTGGATCCTGGTTGCATGCTTGAGAAGTTGAAAATGAAATACTCCTCTGCATTGGATCTACCATATGAGAGCGAGATTCGTTCGGCAATTAGCGCCTTCATTGCAATAGAAAAACGAGCTGAAAATGGTCAACTTTCAACTCGCATACGTTTTCCAGATGTGCTTTCAAATATTATCAATGGCATTCTTGATGCAAATGAAAACACTGCCCCAAAGGCATGCTAAGCAGTGGTCCTGGAAAGATATGAAATGATAAAAGAGGCAAACCCCATCGAAGAGTTCCCTGATGGGAGGAAAAATAAAAAGCAAGATCATTCTGTACTTGTTCGAAGGTCAAGATAAATATTTATCATAAAAAAACAACAAAATCGTAAAAGAATTGTCAATTATTTGCATGAAAGAAAGAAGGAAAAAGCAAAAGAAGAAAATAAAATAAAGAATAAAACGGCCTGGAAAAGGGTGTACTTTGCTGGGAAATGTAGCCGAAATTACAATTTTCAAACAATCATAAAATTTCGAATATTTATGCCCCCCCCCCCAAAAAAATAAGAACACCTTTGAAAATATTTTTCGCTGTTCTATTTTAGTACTAAATGCCCTATTTCAGTGTTCCAATTCCGTAGTTAACGTTGGGCAGAAATGGACAATATATCAGGAAATTTACCACCCCGAGGTATGCATTACGTGTTAAATATAATTAAACACGGAGTTTGGGTCCCGAGGTATGCATTACGAGTTAAATATAATTAAACATGGACTTTGGGTCCCGAGGTATGCATTACGTGTTCAATAAAATTAAAATTGGAGTTTGGGTATTTTTCATGTTCTTCTAAAAGAGAAAATAAATAATATTTTTCATAATCAACTATACAAAATCTTTAAAAAGAAATAGCTCCGTAGCAAAAGAAAAGAGATTGACCAGGACCGAAAGACCGATTTTTAGGTGTGGAACTGGGACCGACGTCTAGTATTACTCAGCAACTGACACCACTTTCAAAAAACTAAAAAAAAACAAAAAACAGAGTTCAGATTCTTATTGAGTTATTTATTAAGACGTCTGTAAAGAAAAAGTATTCATATTCAAGCGAATGGGTTTTATAATGTGTTATTAATGGTACGGACAACACTCAAAATAAATTCAATTTAAAATTCCTATTAAAAATACAGTAGTTAATATCGAGTAGGTTTGTATACGAACTTAGAACGCTAAGAACCTGGGTTCGATTCCCCGCGGTGGACACAGCAGATAGCCCAATGTGGCTTTGCTCTACAATAAACAAATCAAGCTGAAGACAGCTGTAAGTTTTACTGTTTCCAAGCACTCGCGAAACACGATTATAATATAATTCACCAAAGGCTATTGTAGCGTGCATATAGATAGGTGTAGATAGGTCGTATACAAGAATGAGCAATATATGTTTATAACAAAATCAAGTAGTATACACTTCGAAGTCAAGAAAGTTCGTGGTTCTTCACTTATTTGAGTAAATTTTAGATCAACCTAACTGAACTGGCTGGAAGGATTTTATCACCTGTGTAGAGAAATGTTATCTAAAACAGGATTTATATGTTTATTCTACGCTTAAAGAGAAAATTGAGTTCTACCCAAGAGTCGACAGTTTGAATTTTGGTACAGTAGGCTAAAGGCAAATATTTGTTTGTTTGTTTGGAATTAAGCACAAAGTTTACACAATGGGCTATTTGCGCTCTGCCCACCACGGGTATCGAAACCCGGTTTCTAGCGTTGAAAGTCCGCGGACATACCGCTGTGCCACTGGGGGGCAAAGGCAAATATAAAAATTATGTTCGAACAAATATTCATACAACAAAGCTCAATTAATATGAAATTCACCATAGATTTGAGCTTGGGAGTGTATGACAATTTTATTTATTAAATAACTTTACAAATGAAATCCAAGCTTCACTAAACGTACTTAATTTCTAGTTATTTTCTTGAATTTGAACTCACGACATTATAGCAAAAAACAACAACAAAAACAAACAAGATAAAGCGATATGTGCATATATTATTACTCTAGTAGTCTTTTCGAAAATACGATCGTTGGGCGTAAAAGCTGCCTAGAATATTATGACACAAAGAAAGCTTGTTTGTTTGTTTTGAATTTCGCGCAAAGCT